GGGTCTCCCCGCGCCGCGGATGCTCCTCTGTTTCCAAGGCGACGCACGGCACGTAAGTGACGTATGTCTCCATGGTAACCAGGCCGTGCAGAAGAAAAAGAGGAGGATGGTAGGGAAGCTGCAGTAGGGCTCAGTTGTCTGGGCTAGCGGGTGGGGCGGGGACGCTGCAGTGGCCTCTGCCGAGGCTGAAAAGCGCGTGTGGCTGCAATGTGTCTTAGGAAAGCGTGAGAGAGCAGTTTGCAGCAAAACCTCCCAAGCCGGGGAGAAAACATCCCCCTCGCAATCCGAGTATCAGATGCTGAGAACGACCATCTCCGAAGAAGTTTCACCGGCACCTAAGATTCACCTTCTCGAGAACGGCGCTAGAGCTGGGTCCTGCTTCCTCGTCCTCCGGGTGTCCGCAGAAAAGTGAAGAGAGCGGAGAGGCCGAGGCTACTGGTCCCACACTTGAGCTGGAGCGCGGTGGCGCCCTGGAGCCGGCCAGCCAGGCCAGGCGGTGCGGAGGCCAGGAAGGGCAGTTTCTGCCTCTCCCTCCGGCTTCTGCAGTAAGCAGCCTTCTCGAAGACAGTAACCGAAGACACCCGAGGTGGAGATTCTCTCCCACGGGGGACCCAGCGGCTCCTAACCAGGTCACTGGGAATTTGTCCAGGATGGTGATGCCAAGGACTCCACTTTGGAGAACGAAAGCGCCACACGGCTAGAGAATTTTGTCTCCCCTGCAGTCTCCATCATGGAATCCCCAGCACCTAAAATAGTGTCTGGCACGTAGTAGTAAGTAGATGCTTAATGTATTTGTTGAATGAATGCTTTTAACACCAAGTTCCATTGCATCGTTCAGAACTCTCCAGCCTGGATTTTAGAAGACCTGGATTTAGTTTTATTTCTGCCATTTACTAATTCAGAGACCTCCACTAAATCATTTTCCTGACCCTTAGGGATTGGAGGGGATAGTTTATAGTGTTATTGCGAACTCTGAATAACACGTTGCATCAACTCACAATTAAGAGGGTAACTGTTGACAATCAGGAGGGGAGAATAGATAGAAACACGGTGTGTGAGGGCCCCATGCTTAGACATTCACTGAATGTGCCCGAACTTTGTGACTTCCCCTTTCCTTGCTTGAAGGGTAGAGCAGGGAGAAAATGGATTTCACGTATTTACAGAGGACACAGACTGGGAAGCAGTTGTCCTGTAGGCAGTAGCTTACTCATTTATAACCACCCTAGTAAATCAGAGAAGCCCAGTGATTGGAAATCAAAATTAAAGTTCACAAGAAAAGAATAAATCTGTATCACTTAAAAATAGAAATGAACTAAGTATCAGTGAGTGTTTTTTTTTTTTGCAATATTTATGATTCAACACTGTTGAACTGATTCTGTTACCTTGGGCTTCCTTGGTTTTGTGCTCTAGTGACAGAGTATCACTGGCCCAAGGAAAAGTCTGTGTCACTGAAAAACTGGCCTATGCCTATCTCATGCTATTAAAAGCAAGTTGAAAATGTCTGAATTATCCAACTGCAGAATGTTTAAATAATCTTAGGCACTACACACCTATTAGAAATTTGATTTCTCAAAATAAATATTTAAACATTTAAAACTAATGACTCAATCCAATTTGCTTGGTCATTCTTTCCTTCCTTCTATAAACCTATGGCATGCTCATCTTGGTTAACCATTCTGACCTCTGCCATGTGCCCCATACATGGTTACATGGTCAATAAGCTTTAGCTTATTGCTAAAGCCCTAGCTGAAAACACAGAAATGCTTTTTTTTTTTAAATCCAGCCAAAGTGGGCTGGTATTCACAAAGACTTTAAAATACTGGAAAACTAGAAACAGTGGCAGGGAATGTAAAAAGAGCTGAGCTTGTACAGCATACATTTGTGATCACACTATAGTAAACACATTCTTGGGGCACAGGTTCAACCCTGATGCTTATCCTTCCCAGGAGAAACCTGTCATGGCCAGAAAAACCTGGATTTCAGGGTTTCAACCTGAGTTTGTTTTTTTGTTTTGTTTTGTTTTGTTTTTTGTACTGGGGATTGAAGTCTGGCCCTTGTGCTTATGAGGCAGGTGGCAGAACCACTGAGTCAAATCCCCAGCTGAGTTTGTTCATTCCTTCACATCGCTTGACCAACACTTCACACAGGAGATTTCAATTTGCTGGTTCTCTAACCCTTCAAGTGGGTCCATGTCTTCTATCTACAGTGTGATAGTGTAGTGTGTAAGACCTCCCAGCCTTGTGGTCCCACAGGCTTACATGAAACACAGCTCTCATAGAGTAGGAGCTGGGTTATGCCGTCACACAAGGCCCTTTGCCACTATTGTTAAGAACACCTGTGTTTGAAGCCTTTCCACATCAGATTACACCACACCACCCAGAGGTGCTGGGCGTGCAGTCCACAGAGAATACAGGGGGTCTGAGCCCAGAGGGAGGGGAAATTATTGGAGAAGCTCCAAAGACCATGGGAAACAGGTACAGAGATCCAGGGGTGTGGCTGATCCATTCAAGTTCCAGGTCAGACATTTGAGGCAGTAAGTGGGAACTGAGGGTGTGAACCTGTAGCATCAGATTTAGAATCAAATCTTTTCCACAATTCTACGTAAAAATTAGATGAGGAGAAATAGACAACTGTAGTTTCAGGAAAATAAGGGTAACCAAAGTAGAGAGCAAAGGCGAGCCTTTGTCAGCTGGCTGAGCGCAGGAGCTGGATGCCAAGGCCTTGAGGAGGCTGAATAGGACACACCCCAGCCATCTTACTAGAAGAATCAGAGAAAATGCCACCCAGAGAAAATCATCCCTGCACAATCTTGTGTTTCCTCTCTTGTCCTCTGAAGAACAGCTGTGCTGTTCCTTCATCTCACTCTCATTAGCCCATAGGGAGAAAAGACCCCCATGGTGCATGGATATCAGTCTCTATCAGATATACCTAATCCCAGGAATTGCATTCTCATCAAAACTGATTCTGAATAGACCATACCATTTTCTTCTCTCTGGTATCTAGGTATCCCCAGGCTCTATTTCATACAGCTGATGTATTTTTTAATTCATTAAGTTTATTGGTACATTTTAGGTATACAGTACGGTATCATTCCCCATTGGGAATTTGTACCTTTACATGATATATCTTGGTTCTTATTTTTCCGCCATTCCCCTGCCCTCCTTTCAATTCCTCCAACCCTATTTACAAAGACTTTGTTTCTCTTTTTCCTTTTTCCATATTTATTCCCTTCTTTTCTTTCCTTTACCCTTACCCCTTCCACTTCCCTTTCCCCTTTGGATATTTTCTCCCTATTTCACATTATCTATTATATATTTTGATCCTTATTTACACTTTCAGTTTCTCACACCAGAGAAACTATTCAGTATTTACACGTGTATCCTATTTATTTCACTTAAGAATATGGCCTCCATGTGCATCCATTTAGCTATAAATGTCTCTAGTTTCTCATTCTTTATGGGTGAGTAGTACTCCATTTAATATTTTTAAAAACACACTTGTTTTTAATCCAGTCTCCAGTTGATGGGCAATTGGGCTGTTTCCTAGTTTTAGGTATTACATGTGCTGCTATGAACATGGGTGAACATATATCGCTATGGTATGAGTTTTTTAATTCTTTTGGGAAGACACCCAGCAGAGGAATATCTAGGTCAAATGGAACCTCTAATCCTAGTTCTTTGAGGTATCTCCATATTGATTTCCACAGTGGTTGCACCAGTCTGCACTCCCATCAACAATGGAGAAGGGTTCCTTTTTCCCCGCACCCCCGCCAGCATTTGTTATTGGATGATTTCTTGATAGCAGCCATTCTTTCTGGGGTGAGGTGGAGCCTCAGCATTTTCATTTGCATCTCTCAAATGACCAGTGATGTGGAACATTTTTTCATGTTTATTTGTACAGCTGCTGTATTTTCACACACTAAATCTGAAGAAGTCGCTCACTTGACTCAGGTCTAGAACAAAGAGCTAATTCAAACTAGAGTGGTGACAGCTTCGCCTTAGCCTAAAATCCCAGATAATACCTCCAAAGTGTGCCCCGTGAAGCTGCACGGCTTTGTGACCGATCTTAGCATGATATCACATTCAAAAGAAATGTCAAAAAAAGAATTAAAAAGCAATTCATATTTTATTAGTCTCCAGGAAAACTCTAAAGGGGATTACATTCCTAGTACAAAGCAAAAACATCTTAAGCTTCTCTCCCCTTCTCTTCTGCTTATTTCACACATTATGATACAACCATTGCTGCTGGTCTCTTTTTCTTCTCCCCTAACATCCCCAAGCTTCCTCTCAAGCCCTGCCTTTGCCTCCTTGCTCCCTTGCCCACTTCATCTCTTCAATATATTATTTTTATCTCCTGCAGGAAGGAACTGTAATGTAAATGTGTCCATCAAATGTAAATCAGACCAAGCTTGCTTTGGCTTGTTTGATTCTGTCCCTCATTTCCCTGGTTTGCACAGGGGCAAGAAATCAATTACTGGGACTTCTTAGACAGTGAGAAAGATTGGAAGGCTGAGAACACTCACATTGTGTGGTTTGTCTGTCACACAGACTAGATTGTCTCCAAATCAGAGCGTGTTTTGTGTGGTGGAATAG